GTAAGCAAATATTCCTAGAAGCATTATTTATAATTGCCAAGAACTGAAAAAAATTCAAAAGTCCATCAATTGGTGATGGACACATTTTGGTATATCTGCACAAGAGAATATCATTCAGCAATAAAATGGAATAAAATACTGATACATGATATAAGGAGCTTTTTGGGGCAATGGGAATGGGGTAAGATAATGGCTGCAGAACTCTTTACATTAATTAAAAATCATTAAATTGTATACTTATACTGGGTGTATTGTTGGAGGGAGGTATTCCCTGGAACAGAGACCATCATCTTGCTTCTTCCAGACCAAACACTGTCTTCCCCAGGAGAACTCCAGGTCAGAAGCTTCAGAACAGAGGCTTCCATCGTTTCATTTCACAGGGACATGGGGAAGAAATGCAAATTGAGTCACAGCTGGACACATGCTCCATGCCTTGCTGCTGTGCCTTTTTCCAGCCCAATGGCTAATTTGGGAGCACCTCTCAATTCAATGTTCTCAATTCACTCCACCCACCAAATAGGACTCCAATATCAAAGGTAAATTAATGATGTAGTCACTGTCAAACAGTACCAGGGCTGAATGACAGGAATGCACAAAACCATCATGTTACGAGTACTTGAAGCAGCTCTATGAAGGCATCACTGATATCAAATGCAGACTTCACAATGTCCATGAATAATGGGAACCTTACCCAGAAGGCCCCCAGAAGCCATCCCATCAGGCCCCTTGCTCAGAGCAGGAGTGAAGTCCATGCCCTACTCAGTAATGGGAGAGCAGCATGATGTCATGCCAATGGGTGCAGGGCCATCACCCTCCAGGGCACTGCAAACAGGGAACAGAGGCTGCTTTATGCTGAGCAATTGTGAGGTGACCATCAAACACAGCACGGCTTCTTCCCTAAGAGCCAGTGGTGCGACAACTCTCCCAAAGTCCCCCAACAAGTCACAAAGTACAACACTGCCCCTTCAGGCTTCCCCATGCGCAGGGCAGTCCTGGAGTGTCTCCTCTGGTGGTGGCGGTCCTTCTATACAAGGTCCAGCTTCTGCCTGAAGGCTACTCATGTAGGCTCTTTCTTGAGTGTTAATTCTCTTATATTGATAAGGTTAAAAAAAAGAGGCTGATTTTTTAAATAAAACGTTAAAAAAGGGGGGTGGAGAGCTGAAGACTTTACTGTATTCCCTGCCCTCAGAAGGCTTCTCTCCAGAGTGAGGCTTCTGGCATTGGGAAGAAGGAAGTGTGGCTGACACCTCTCCCAGGTCAGTTGTACACACAGGATCCTTCTCCAGTGTGAAGCGTTCTACGCGGAACAGGCAGGAGCTGCAGCTTTTTGCCCTCCTACTTACCTCACTCACAACGTGGTAACTTGCTGCTGCAAAACAGGATTAACTCTGAGAGGAGGCTTTCCAACACTAGCTGTACTCATGCCTTTCTCTGATGGGGACTGCATGAAACAGGTTTCATATTTTCCTGGAAGTTTTCACATAGTTACTGCATTTGCACAACTGTTGCCTGGTGTGAATTTTCTGGTGCTAATAAGAGTGGAGCTCTGAATGGAGATGCCCGTTCTCCACACTTGTGAGTCCTGATTATCAGTGTGAATGATTTGGTACAGGGGGAAGTGCAAAATTTTGCTCAAAATTTTGGGCCACACTCCCTGCCCTCATAAGGGCTTTCTATGGGGCAAATATTTTGGTGCTCAATGGAAACAGAGGTCTGGCTGGAGGCTTTCTCATGTAACATTCAAAGGTGTGAACGTACTCCTGCTTTCTCAGGATGGAGACAAAGGTGAAGGCCTTCAAAATGCACTTGGGATTTTTTTCCCCATTCTTAAGTTTTTTTTGGTGGTAGAAAAGGGAACACCTCTCCTTGAACACCTCTCCATTTGCTGTGCATTGATCAGGTGTCTCTTTCAGTGTCAATTCTCTGTGGATTCTGCAGAATGTGGAGCTGGCAGGGCCTCAGTGTCTGGTGACAGACAGGTGCTGTGCAGTGAGGGGAGTCCAGGCCTGGGACCCCTGACACTGTGCCCACCTTCCTCAGAGGGACAAGTCAGACTCATGGAAGAACAGGTTTTCAAGAACTATTTAAGGATATGTGAAGGGGAGGCCAATGATGGAGGACCTGGCCATAAGAGGGGAGAAAGAGAGAGGCTGAGAGGCAAAGGACCAAGAGGGTTTAGCCAGGGGACAGGAAGTCAGGGTAAATTAGGATGGGGTGTCAGAAAGATAGAAAAGAGGCATGGGTACTCACATTGATGCCAGGGCAACAGAAGACACAGGTCAGGTACCAGGTAAGAGATCAGCCCACTGCCACAGGCCCTTCCACACCTGTCTTGCACTCACCAGGACTGGTCTTCCATGGGTCTCTCTGGTCATGAACTGATTCGAGCCACCCTGTCCACCAGCTAGGTCCCCTTTCGATGTTCAAGTTGGGTGACCGCACTGGGGTGGGTGGAGACAGTAATTCTTAAGGGAGATCAAGGCGTTTGTGAGAGGTCAGGCAGCCCCAGGTCAGGGGTGATTCATTCCATGACAGACCAAGGTGGATGAGGATTACTTATGCATCTGGGAGAACTGAACCTCACAAAATGAACACTCCGGGAAGGCCTCACTAGAAAAGCTCAGTGGCCCCTGAATCAATGACCATGTTAGTGCCCATAAAGCCAGTAAAGGCGCTGACAAGGGGCAGCTGGCAGGAAACTTCCACTGGAGGAGGTGTGATAGAGGGACCGAAAAGTCACAGATCCTGACTGGTTCATCAGACCAGAAAATAACCAAGAAATATATATATATATATAATATAACAAGAAAATAACCAAGAAAATAACCGGCTACTCCGGTTGTGGTATTTTTGACCTTGGACCACAGTTGTCAAGGTCCCAAGGCAAAAGGTGTTGGGGGTTGTTTATACTGTAGTCTGGGAGGAGAGGTAGCAGAACATTGGACAGAACTAGGGCCAGCAGCACCTCTCACGGGGAAACTGGCAGCCTGACCTGGTGAAGACAGCACCATATCGCAGCAGAAGCCCCACTGGGCCTCACTAAGGAGACCCACTTCTTCTGAAAGAAAGGCACACGACCTTGTCCTCAAAGGTCACTGGGTCCTGCAACAGCAGGCAAGGGGCACATGAATGTGTTCTAAGCATCGGGCACTGGACCTGACACGCCAGTCTCTGTCCTGCCACACACTTCCCCTTATGTCTCCCAAACCCTGTCCCCTGTCACACCTGCCCACCCTTTCGTATCTGAGAGCATGGGCCGTCCTCCTGGGTATGCACTCTCCCCATGTCCATTGGTGTTTGGACAATGCTTCTCTTTTTCTGCACCCACCTCATCTACTCAGCTATTGGTCCTTAGCCTGGACACCCCACACTCACCTCAAGGCCTATCTGTAACAACCTAAGAGTTTCCTTCCAAAATCCCATTCTCAGCATCTTCCCTGGTCCAGGCCATCAGTGCACTGCAGTCTGGACATCAGGAGGCCAAATCAAAATCCCCTATCTGTTCACGGGCACATGTGTCACCTCCACCTAGAGGCCTCCAGACAACTCAGTCTCTACCCGTACAAAACCCAACTGCTAATCTTCCCCCAAATGTACTCCTCCTGCCAACCTCCGATCTCCATCTCATTCTTCATCTGAACACTTACGGTAGTCCTTTACCCTCCACTACGTTCACTCTCCAGGTGTAACTGGAGGTCCCATCGACTCCACTTTGAAAGACGCATCCAGAATCTGAGTATCTCTCCCACCACTCCTGCTTCTATTCTGAGCAAGCCACCCAACATATACCTGCAGCAGCAACCTCATGAAGCTGCCTGCTTTCAGCCCCACCACAACCCCTCTCCCACAAGGCTGCTCAGTGTGTTTACGCGGGATCCACTGGGATAGTTTCAAAATCCTAACTCAGATCATAGCCATCCATCTTCTAATGAAAAATTTTTGTGGCTCCCAGCATCCTCAGCCCGTCAACAGAGTTAGGACTCCTATCCTCACGCTCTCGGTTACCCGCAACGGGGACTGGAAAACTTTCCTGAATGCTCAGGTCAGTCTCACCTCCAAGTCTTCGCACATGCACATTCCTCCGCCTGCACGCTCCACATTTTATCACACTGGATTCTGAAAGGCAGACCCCCGACCTGTGAACGTTCCACTGTCCTGAACACCCAGGCCTGAGGCTGAGTCAGGGACTTGGGGCACTGGGGTTCGGAGTCCAGCCAGGTGGAGGCCAGGAGACTCTACCTCATCCGTGCCTAGTCGATCGGCTCGCTTATCACGCCCGCAGTCCAGCTACATAATGGGTCAAGACCTCGGAATGGCTGGCTTTCGAGCCTGGGTCTTCTTCTCCGTAAAGCGGACACAACGCACAGGGCGACGACTCCGGGGTGGCCACGGACACAGACGGGCCTTGACGGAGGTATCCGCAGGGCACCCCGGCGCCAGGCGGTCCCCCGACAGCCGAGGACACACGAGCTCGGGGAGGCGGGACGTTCGCTGCGGTCATGGGGCGCACAAGGCACAGCGGGTGGACCACCCAGGCTCTCGTACCTACCCTACTCCCGTTTCCGCGGGCCCGGGGAGCCTCCTGGATGCTGTCCACAGCCCAGCAACTACGTCCCTCCACGAAGCGCCGACATAAAGGCGGGACAAAGAAGCAATGGTCCGACCCCGGAAGTCCCGCCCCCGCCGGCGCGGCCATTTCGGAAACGCCCCCTCACTTAGGTTATCATTGGTTCCTATCCTGGGCTCTCATTGGTCGACACTGTGTGCGGTCGCACGGCGAGGGTGTTTCTGGGTAATGTAGTTCGTGTCTCGTGAGACGTGACGCAACGTGCGTCCTTCCTGATCACCTAGGCAACGACTAGGCGGCACCGCGATTGGCTCCGGGAAAAGCGTCATAGTCAGCCGCGAGCCTTGAACCAGTGAAGGGTCAGGATTTGGGCGTTTTCGCGTGGGCCTCAGGGGGTGGGGCGGGACTTCCGGCGCGGCCATTGCAGTCTTCGTTTTGTGGCGGGTTGGGCTATGCGCAAACCGTCGCTGGGACGTGCGGCGAAGGGGGCCGGGGGGGGGGACGTGCTGGAACCGTCATCGCACCTTGGCAGTCACTTTTACCCTCGGCTGACGGCCCTTCTTTCCTGAGCCTCGGTTTTCCCGGAAGTGGAACGGACGCAGAGAGTCTCCGCGCCCCGCCTTCGTCCCACATTCCCGGGAGACAGCTCCTATATCATACTGGGGAAGACAAAGGCCTTGAGTGCGACCGTCAGCCTGCGGTCACTCCACCCAGTGGGTGTGGTGGTTCGGATGAGCCCGCTGGGCTCCTCCCGGTCGCCGCCTGGCAGGGCCCCGCCCAGCCCACAGGTTGTGACCGGGCCTGCAGCGTCGCAGATGGACCCGGCGCAGGTGAGTGGCGGGTGCGCAGGTCCTCACCCGCTGGGATCCCCCCCTCCTGTGCCTGGAGCCCGTTAGAGAATGGTCGTGTCCCGAATTCTTCACCTGCACATGAGTCTGGGGCCCTGAGAGTCACTTTCCCCTAGCATCCGGAGCCTAGGCCAGAGGTTAAATGGAGCGGATCACGTGGGATAAGGTCTGGAAAGGTGCCCCTAGCACAGGGATCAGCATGTGCCAGTTGCTTAGAGGTGAGTATAAGGTGGAAGTGTTCAGGGAAACCACAGGTCTCCATTTCGTCTGGTGGAAATAACGAGCAGGGGAACTGGAAGCAGGCCTGGAATAGCAGAGTGAGGTGCTGGGCCTGTTCGCAGTGTGATGCGAGTCACGGGAAGTGTAGAGCAGAGGAGGGAGGTGTTCTGACTCAGATCTTAACAAGCTCCCTCTGGATGCTGGGTGGAGAAGAGACTGGCAGGTGGGGTGCTGTTGCAGGCAGGAAGACCATTGAGGAGGAGACCGCAGTAGTCCAGGTGTGTGCTCTTTGTGGCTGGAGCAGAGAGGTGCCTGTGAGGTAGGAGAAGTGGTTGGCTCCTGGATGTGCTTTTTAAGTAGGACGGACTAGATTTCCTGATGTGTGGCAATGAGGTATCATGGTTGACCCTGATAGGTTTTCCGGATGTGGAAGGTGGTGCGAGGAGTAGATTTCAGAGGGAAGATAAAGAGTTGGGTTTTGGCCTTATTGTATTTGAAATGGCCCAGAGGGACTTCCCTGGTAGTCCAGTGGGTAAGACTCTGTGCTCCCAATGCAGGGGGCCCAGGTTCGATCCCTGGTCGGGAAACTAGATCCCACATGTGTGCCGCAACTAAGAGTCCTCATGCCGCAACTAAGAAGTCCGCATGCCACAACTAAGAGTCCAAATGCCACGATTAAAGATCCCGCATGCCGCAACTAAGACCCAGCACAGCCTAAATAAATAATAAATAAATATTAAAAAACAATGTCCCAGAGACTGCCAAATTGAGGTGCCAAGTGTGCTTTCTGCTGGGTCCAGGCTGGAGACATCTAAGGGGTGGAGGCTTGTGCTTAGACACTGTGTGCAGCTGTGAGCTGGGTACAAGATGATGACCAAGCCTCTGAGTAGAGTGTAGACTTGGGATGAAAAATGAAGCATGGAAGTAACTGAGGTAGGATAACAGAGGGGCCCGAGATTAGATTGTTTTACCTCTCTACAGCTCACCAGGTTTTTGTGGCTATCCTCCTTGGGTCCAGGGGTTTTTGTCAGGCTATTGGAGTAGCAGGGACATAAAGGGTCAGCCCAAGCTAAGAGTTCCTAAGCCAAGAGTGGGGCCAGCGGGTCTGGGATTCGTGTATTAGGAAGGGCAAGGACAGCTATGACTGGTGAAGGGACAGCATGCACAAGGTCAGAGCTGGAAGAGAATAAGGGTGTTTGAGATCTTACTCATGGTTCTGGGGGGCAAGGTTGAAGCAGCAGAGCAAAGAAGGGAGGCATTAAATAGAGGGGTGAGGGCTGTCTCTGTCAGTGGGAAGTTTTGGCAATCAAGGGCAGTCCAAGGTTAGTATTGGATTTTGCTTGCCTTTGTCGGCAAGCTATGTACATAGTGGTATATGGGTACACTAGGGAGATGCTTGTGGTGTGGCCAGGGAGAGGGGCGATGGTATTGTGGGCTGTGGGGAGTGGAGATATGAGGAAGGTATGGTCCTATGTGTACAAGGTAAGGGAATGAGCCCTGGTACTAGAGGCTTAAGGAAGAAAACAGAGCCCAAATTTTCTTATATTTGGGAGGTGTGACCTGGAGGACACAAGGGAAATTGTCCAATGGGGGAAGTGGGCTGTGTGCCAACCTAGAGCTGAAACAGCATCCATCTATCCACCTTCCATTTGTTCCTCTTGTTTGGTTTGGTCTGGATACAGTGGCCAGTGGGAGTATGAGGAGAGAAGGACACCAGTGGTGCCAGCACCTGTTGTCTTCTCTGAGGTGAGGGCCTGGAGAGGGGGGTGAGCTGCAGGTAGGTGAGGGGAGGATGGACTGAGGGGGTCATGAGAAGAGGCGATGACAGTGGTAGATGTGGCAGAACTCTGAGTCACAGGTCAAGGGCCTGGATGTGCCCATTTGACTATTTGTTTGTTATTCACCCACCTATTGGCCCCCTGGCTTAGCTGTCTCATCATTGCAGAGTCTGGTGACCTTTGAGGATGTGGCCGTGCACTTTTCCAAGGAGGAGTGGGGGCTCCTTGATGCAGCCCAAAGGCAACTGTACCACAGTGTGATGCTGGAGAACTTGGAGCTCATGACCTCACTTGGTAAGGTCCTTATGCCCTGCCCAGCCTGGTGGCCAGCATCTGCCTTCTGCCTTCTCCCCACAGAAAGCTCTGTTCATCCCAAAGCTGGACCATGGACACTGCTTCCTTCCCAGGTTTCCTGTTGTAGGTGCTGTGAGTGCTGGGACTGAGCTGTATGCACTCGCCCTGTTTCTCCCTGAGCAGCCTGATGAGCAATCCTAATAGCTGTTAGGTCCCACAGAGGCCTTGTGGGAGAAGAGGTTGGGGATCAGGCATTCTGGTCTGCCTAAAGGATCCCACTGAGCTTGAGCAGTTCCTGGCAGGGTGACCCAGTGTGGGGCCATGCCTAGGTTCTGCCCCTTCTCCCAGAGACATTTTTTTTTAAATGGCTTTACTGATACATATCATAACATTCACCTTTTTTTTTCGGCTGTGTCGGGTTTTAGTTGAGGCAAGTGGGATCTTTGATGCAGAATGCAGGCTCTTTGTTGCAGTGCACACAGGCTTCTCTCTAGTTGTGGCACACAGGCTGCAGAGCACGTGGGCTCTGTAGTTTGTGGGACACGGGCTGCCTTGTTAAGGCTCACAGGCTCAGTAGTTGTGGCACACAGGCTTAGTTGCCCCGCAGCATGTGGGATCTTAGTTCCCTGACCAGGGATCAAACCTGTCTCACCTGCATTGGAAGGTGGATTCGTTACCACTGGACCACCAGAGAAGTCCCACGTTCAACTTTTTTTTTTTTTTTTTGCGGTACGCGGGCCCCTCACCGCTGTGGCCTCTCCCGTTGTGGAACACAGGCTCCGGAGGCGCAGGCTCAGCGGCCATGGCTCACGGGTCCAGCCGCTCCGCGGCATGTGGGACCCTCCCGGACCGGGGCACGAACCTGTGTCCCCCCCATTGGCAGGCAGACTCCCAACCACTGCACCACCAGGGAAGCCCCAACGTTCACTTTTTTAATGTGTACAGTTTAGTGGTTTTTCATATGTTCTCATTGTATAAATATCACCATAGTCCATAAAACTCCTAGAAAAGAACATAGGCAGTATGTTCTCTGACATAAATCATACCAGTTTTCTTAAGTCAGTCTCCCAAGGCAATAGAAATAAAAACAAAAATAAAGAAATGGGACCTAATCAAACTTACAAGTTTCTGCACAGCAAACGAAACCATAAACAAAACAAAAAGACAACCTACGGACTGGGAGAAAATATTTGCAAATGATACAACTGACAAGGGTTTAATTTACAAAGTATACAGACAGTCCATACAATTCAGTAACAACAACAAAAAGTCCAGTTGAAAAATGGGCAGACACCTGCTGGGCCTGTGTGCCACAAATGCTAGGGCCTGCACACCTGGAGCCCATGCTCTGCAGCTGGAGAGGCCACTGCAACGAGAGGCCTGCATACCACAGCGAGGAGTGGCCCCACTTTGCTGTGGCCAGAGAGAAGGCCATGTGCAGTGGCAAGGACCCAGCACAGCCAAAAATAAAATAAATAAATTAAGAAAAAGAAAAAGAAAAATGGGCAGAAGACCTAAATAGACATTTCTCCAAAGAAGACATACAGATGGGCAATAGGCACATTAAAAGATGCTCATCATTACTAATTATTAGAGACGTGCAAATGAAAACTACAATGAGGTACCACCTCACACTGAGCAGGATGGCCATCATTAAAAAGTCTACAAATAACAGATGCTGGAGAGGGTGTAGAGAAAAGGGAACCCTCCTACGCTGTTGGGGGGAATGTAAATTGGTGCAGCCACTATGGAAAACAGTATGGAGGTTCCTTAAAACACTAAAAATAGAGTTGCCATATGATTCAACAATCCCATTCCTGAGCACATATCCAGAGAAAACTTGAAAAGATACGTGCACCCCAATGCTCACAGCAGCACTATTTACAATAGCCAAGGCATGGAGACAACCTAAATGTCCCTCAACAGATGGTAAAGAAGATGTGGTGTATATATACAATGGAATATTACTCAGCCTTATAAAAGAATGAAATAATGCCATTAGCAGCAACGTGGATGGACCAGAGATTATCATACTAAATGAAGTCATAAGGAGAAAGACAAGTACCATGTGAGATCTTATATGTGGAATCTAAAATACAACACATGAACATATCTATGAAGCAGAAACAGACTCACAGATACAGAGAACAGACTTGTGGTTGCCAAGGGTGGGAGTTGGAGGAGGGATGGATTGGGAGTTTGGGATTAGCAGATGCACCCTAGTACATACTGGATGGATAAACAAGGTCCTACTGTATAGAACAGGGAACTGTATTCAATATCCTGTGATAAACCATAATGCAAAAGAATATGAAAAAGAATTGTACATATATGTATAATTGAATCACTATGCTGTACAGCATAAATTAACACAACATACTTCAATTAAAATTTTTAAAAATTAGAGGTAATAAATATCACCATACTCTAATTTTAGAACATTTTCATTACCTAAAGAAAAACTTTGTAGCCTTTAGCAGTCACTCTACACCCCCCCTCATCCCTTCCTCCTGAGTCTTAGGCAACCACTAATCTACTTTATGACTATATAGATTTGCTTATTCTAGATATTTTATACAAATGGAATCATATAATATACATTTTTCTGTGACTGGCTTTCACTTAGCATAATGTTTTTGAGGTTCATCCATGTTGCAGCACATATCAGTAATATGTTGTTCATTTTTATGGCTGAATAATATTCCATTGTATCAATATACCAGTTTTTTTTATCCATTCATCAGATGATGGGCATTTGGCTTGTTTCCACTTTTCGACTGTTACAAAAATTACGGCTGTTATGAACGTTCATGTACAAGTTTTTGTGTAGATATGTTTCATTGCTCTCGGGTAGATACATAGCAGTGGAATTCACAAACTGTTTCCCAAACTAGCAGCACCATTTTACATTCCCACTGCAGTGTATGAGTGTTCTGAGTTCTCTACTTCCTCATAAACAACTTGTTACTATCTTTTTTCTTATAGCTATCCTGGTGGGGTGGTATCTCATTGTGGTTTGAGTTTGCATTTCTCTAATGACTAATGCTGTTGAGCATTTTTTCATGTACTTACTGGCCATTTGTGTATATTTATCTTTCTTTGAGAAATGTCTTTTCAAGTTCTTTGCCTCTGTGTCCATGCCTCTGGTAAGGCCCCTTTACTCTGTGGCTTGCTGGGCCCTGTCCTGCACAGTGAGCCTTTCACTCTTACTCTGGCCCCCTTGGCCTATCAACAAACCCTTGGGCCCATTTCCGTATGTGTCAGTCACACATTTCTAATGAAATCACCCTTTCCACTAAGTGGAACACTCAGTTAACCAGAAATTTCTCGGCTTTCAGGTTGTTGGCATGGAGTGGAAGATGAGGAGGTATGTTCCAAGCAGGATGCTTCTGTAGATGTGGTGTCACAGGTCAGGATTTTCAGTGCACATTCTTCTACCCAGAAGGCTGACAGTTGTGACATGTGTGACCCATTCTTGAAAGACATTTCGCACCTGGATGTACATCAAGGAACACATGCTGAGGAGACTCCCTACACATGTGTAGCACGTGGCAGAGAGTTTTGGTTTGGTGCAAACCTTCACCAGCATCAGAAGGAGTGCAGTGGAGAAAAGTCCTTCAAATGGAACGAGGACAGGGACTTGTTTGTGCAGAGCTCAATAGTCTGTCTATCAGAGAAGCCCTTTACATGTGGATTAGGTGGTAAGGATGTCTCAGACAGCCATGACCTCCTCCAGCACCCAAACACAGATGGCAGTGGGAAGCCACACAGCAGCACAAAGTGCAGGGAGGCCTTACCACACCCTTCCAGTCTTGGGCAGCTCCCAGAAGTCCATGCCTCACAGAAGCCCTTCAAGTGCAGTGACTGTGGAAAAGCCTTCCAGAAGAGTTCTGTCCTCCTCAACCACCTGAGAACTCACTCTGAAGAGATACCATTTAGATGCCTAAGAGTTGAAAATTCCTTAGAGGAGAAATTAACTCTTGTTAATGACCAAAAGTTTCACACTGGAGAAACATCTCACGTATGTAAGGAGTGTGGCAAGGCCTTTAGTCATCCGTCTAAGCTGAGGAAGCACCAGAAATTTCATACTGGAGTAAAATACTATGAGTGCAGTGACTGTGGGAAAACTTTCAGCCACAAACTCACACTTGTTCATCACCAGAGAATCCACACAGGAGAAAGGCCTTATGAATGCAGTGAATGTGGGAAAGCCTTCAATAACAGGTCACACCTCACTCGGCATGAGAAAGTTCACACTGGAGAAAGACCTTTTGAGTGCAGCAAATGTGGCAGAGCCTTCAGCCAAAGCTCCAATTTCCTTCGGCACCAGAAAGTCCACACCCAAGTAAGACCTTATGAGTGCAATCAGTGTAGCAAAGCCTTCAGCCGCAGCTCTGCTCTCATTCAGCACTGGAGGGTTCACACTGGAGAAAGGCCTTATGAGTGCAGTGAGTGTGGGCGAGCTTTTAACAATAACTCCAACCTTGCTCAGCATCAGAAGGTCCACACTGGAGAACGGCCTTTTGAATGCACTGAATGTGGAAGAGACTTCAACCAAAGCTCTCACCTCCTTCGACATCAGAAAGTTCACACTGGAGAACGGCCTTTTGGATGCAGTGAATGTGGGAAAGCCTTCAGCAATAGCTCCACCCTCATTCAGCACCAGAAAGTACATACTGGTCAAAGGCCTTATGAGTGCAGTGAATGTAGAAAAGCCTTCAGTCGCAACTCCAGCCTGATTCAGCACTGGAGAATTCACACTGGAGAAAGGCCTTACGAGTGCAACGAATGTGGGAAAGCCTTTGCTCACAGTTCCAGTCTCATTGAGCACTGGAGAGTTCACACAAGAGAAAGGCCTTATGAGTGTAGTGAATGTGGGAAATTCTTTAGCCAAAACTCCATTCTTATTAAACATCAGAAAGTTCACACTGGAGAAAGGCCTTATGAGTGCACTGAATGTGGGAAGTTCTTTAGCCGCAAGTCCAGCCTCATTTATCACTGGAGAGTTCACACTGGGGAAAGGCCTTATGAATGCAGTGAATGTGGGAGAGCCTTCAGCAATAACTCTCACCTGGTTCGTCACCAGAGAGTTCACACACAAGAAAGGCCCTATGAATGCAGCCAATGTGGGAAAGCCTTTAGTGAAAGATCCACACTTGTTCGACACCAGATAGTTCATACCAGAGAAAAGACTTATGAGTGTGGCCACTGTGGGAAAATCTTCAGCCGCCTCTGCAACCTTGCTCAGCATAAGAGGATTCATACCTGAGTGGAGCCTTGTAGAAATGATCTTCGTGAGAAAATCTTCAGCCACATCCAACTTTATGCAGCAGAATACCCACAAAGAAATTACCTAAGTGTGACTAATGTGGAAGAGCCTTCAGAAGCTACTCTGCCCTTTTTGAGCAGCTCAGGCAGCACTGTCTCGCCTCTGGAGCATAAACCTCTTTCTAGCTGTCTGGATCCAAATATTTGCAGCAGTCACCTACATATACATGGAGAGAACACATCCCTTTGCCTCCCTTCTCCTTTCCTGGAGGGTGTTGGGATTGTCCTAGGCTCACTGGAATGGCTTCATTCCCATTGCCTCTGAGAGGGTTAAGGAATGAACTGACCCCATGCCGGTTGAGAGATTAATTAATCAAGACACATGACAGTCCTAAATGTTAATATACCTAACAGTGCTTCAAGGTACATGAAGCAAAAACTGATAGAACTGCAAGGAGAAATAGACAAATCCACAATTATAGTTGGAGATGTCCACATCCATCCCAGATAATCGGTAAGGACAGAGAAGACGAACAACACTGCCAACCAACTTGACCTAATTGACATTTATAGAACATTCTGTCCAATAAAGGCAGAATACACATTCTTTTCACAGGCACATAGAACATTTACCAAAATGGAGCATCTTCTGGGCCACAAAACAAGGCCTGATAAATGGAAAAGAATTGAAATAATACAAAGTATGGACCCTGACTATGAGAGAATTCAATAAGAAGTCAAGAATAGTATGATGTGTGGAAAATCCTCACTTGGAAACTAAATAGCACACTTGTAAATAATCCATGGTCAAAGATGAAATCAAAAGAAAAATTAGAAAGTATTTTGAATGAAAATGAAAACAGAGGATATCACAACATATGGAATGTACCTAAAACAGTACCAAGGGAGAAATATTTGTGTGTGTGTCTCCATGTATACTAGTGAAATAAGAATAAGCCCTATGGAGTGTAAAAAAGAATCATTAAATGCTCAATTTTTTTAAAGTTACAACAAAAGAAGCAACCATGACAAATACAAGCCATAATAACTTCTTCCCTTCACTAAAAGGTAAAAGCCAATTGCAGAGGTCACCTGAGCCCCCAGGAGACAGAAATGCAGAACGTCAGGAGGGGCCTCATTGACACACTCGGGGCCCCTCCACAACCCTGCTCACAGTTGTCAGTTGTGTGGTTTCTTAAGGGATGTCTGTCTCCCCGTGTCTTAGTCCATTCCAACTGACAGAACAAAAATACCATAAACTGGGTGGCTAATAAATAATAGAAATTTCTCACAGTTCTGGAGGCTGGAAAATCCAAGATCACGGTGCCAGCAGATTTGGTGTCTGGTGAGGATCCTGGATAATAGCTGTCTTCTGTGTTTTCACACAGTGGAAGGAGAGAGGGAGTTCTCGGAGGGTCTCTTTTATGAGGGCACTAATCCCATTCATGAGGGTTCCTCCCCCATGACCTAATCATCTCCCAAAGGCCCCCACCTCCAAATACCAAACATTGAGGGTTAGGTTTTAACCTATGTATTTTGGGGGGACACAACATTCGGTCTACATCACCTACTAGAATGTCTGTTTCATGCAGGAGGGCCCCTATGGGTTTTGTCTCTGCTGGGTGAGTTCAGTCTCCAGAGCACAGCAGCAGTTTACACAGCCTGGGGTAGGTGTGTAAGCACTCAGGGAGTGCATGAAGGGGGATGTACTACTCTTTCCCTGTGCTCTCCTACCTTCTCCCTCCTGAGTCAGCTCTGATGACAGGGCTGTGGTCTGGGCCCAGCACAGTCCTTCAGAGCAGCCAAACATTCCCTGGAGTCCTTCTGTGTGCCAAGCTCTTGCCTGAGCTCTGTGGTAGATCCATTTCATCTCCATCTGATGTGCAGTACAGAGATTTAACGTGCAAACAGACTAAAGCAGCGTCATTGTAGGGTGGCTGGAGCTATGAAGGAAATGAAGCAGAGGTGACAAAAGTGATGGCTGCTACTGCAGATTGGTTGGGGAGAGCTGAGGAGGTGACTCCAGGGGAAGGGTATTCCAGCCAGAGGGAACCGCAGTGCAGAGGCCCCAGGCAGGAATGAACAATGAGGAGACCCAGTGGCCCATGAAGAGGAGAAGAAGGCCAAGAGGTCAGGAAACAGGTCATGCCGGCCCTTTTGGCTGGGGTGAGGAGTTTGGTTTAGTCTACCCTACCCCCACTTGTTTGTCATCTGAGCCCTACTCGGCTCAGCTGGACTCTACTCTGCTTCCACACAGACTGCCATGCCAGGGGCAGACAATTATTACCCACAGGGAGAAGGGCCTGAGCAGGCCTGGTGGTGGGCGTATGCCTTACGGTGTTGGAGAGACATTGAGCAGACTGGCCGAGAACTCCGTAGGGTCCTACCCCACGTGGCCACCACCCCTCCTGCCATCAGGGGGTGGGTGAGAGTAATCACTGAAGCTAAAGGAAGCAGCTGTTTCCAACCCCAACCCACAGTACTGGCTGAGCACCATGGCCCAAAGCCCCTCAAGTCCAGGGTTGGTGGCTCTCTCCCTAAACATACCTCCCAGCTAACATTTCCTTCTTGACATGAAGCATGATTTCTAGACCAGGGACACAGCTACAACCACATAACAACTTTCGCTGAACTGACATTTTATTTACCTTTTGAAAAAGTTTCCAAAATTTTAAACATAGATCTGGATCCATATGTTGATTCAACCACTTCTTTCCCTGGAGCCCTGGGAGAGCGGCAGCAAAAACAGCCAAAGCCATGGTGTGCAGAGACATCAGGAACACTAGCTGGGTCACAAAAGCCACATCCTAGGACTACAGGATCTTCTTTCAGTCCCAGGGTGATGGCCATGAGGTGAACATGCCCGGAAAGGCTCTGAGAATCCAAATAACCTGTAGATTATTTGCTGACAGTGACCTTAGACACAGGGAACAGGTTTGCAATTCCTGAGAAATTCTGCATGCCGCACCCTGTGAAACCATGGTTCCTGGAACATTTGTGGGTGCCTCTTTAGAACCAGCTCAAACCCTCTCGTTTACCAGATTCCCCACTCCACAGGACCTCACTCAGTGCTTCTGTGTCCACTTACTCTTTCCAACAGGCCCCTGTAGGACTTATGGCCAGTCTAGAACTTACCTCCACGTTCTCGATTTCAGGGGGCATGGCTTCTGAGCTGATTCTGGAAACAACTTCTTCTGACCAATGCTGGAGATTGCAGAACATTCCCTGGGAACAAGGAACCCAGGTGCTTGTCCCTAGTCACCCGGGGATCTTATACCAACCACCCCATTCTTCAGGTGAGCTCTGAATCCTCAAGTAAACCTGATATCCAGGCTGAAGATTTATCCACAAAGCCCTTCAATCTTTCCCTGGAGGTCTCAGGCACAAGTGCAAGTTAGGCCAACCTTGACTGGAGCTGTCCTCTGCCATCCTGCTGGCCCCACTGAGGCAGACAAAAGTCAGGGACCCCCACAGAAACCGTTCCCTCTATCCATGAGCCCAATTTTGTTCTCAATCCTTCCACACACAGATCCCAAAGATTAAGGGTGGTTTAAACAAAAAGGCCTAAAGATTACCAGACATTCCAGAGCAGTGTGAGCCAGTTCCAGGGTTGGATAAATGCATGACAGGGACCAAATGTAGTGTCAACAGTGTCCATGAAAATGGTTAACCTTCCCTGGAAGGCCCCAGCAGACACTGCTCAGCTACTCTTGGCAAGAACTAGGTCATGTCCACACCTAAACCAGTTGGAGGGGGAGAGAATAAGACCCATTATGGGCTCCACCACTCATGATTCTCTCCTTTATCAAGTGGGGAACACAGAGGTCAGCTTCCCTGAGCACAAACAGTGACTGATGCTTACCACGGGGACCTGCCAGGTGGTAGAAGTGGGATGGCTTCTGTCACAGTAACTGGCAGTGACTCAACACTGCCAACAGCCTGGGCAGGTGAGAGTGCAACACAGCTCCTGAACGCTTCCCATGTACCTGGCACCAGCCCAGTGTGGGTGCTGGGGTGTGACATGTTTAGCTTTCAAATGGCTACTCTCCTCAATCTCCTTTCTGGAGTGAGACCTTTCATGTTGAACAAGGTGCCAGCCATGTCTAAAGGTTTTCCCACATCCCCGTCCTCCTATGGCCTTTCTCCAGTGTGGACTTTCTTGTGCTGAAGGAGGGTAGAACTATGTTTAAAGGCTTTCCCACATTCTGTACATTCATAAGCCCTCTCTTCAGTGTGGAACTGCTGGTGCCGATTTCGGTAGGACCTGGTAGTGAAGGTTTTCCCACACAGGCTGCACTCGTAGGGACGTTCTCCAGTGTGGACTTTCCAGTGCTGATACAGCCCAGAGCGGGTCACGTAAGTTTTCCCACATTCACTGCACTCATAGGGCCTCTCTCCAGTGTGAACTCTCTGGTGAAGAATGAAGCTATGGTTGTATTTGAAGAATCTCCCACATTCCCTGCACTCATAGGGCCTTTCTCCAATGTGAACTTTCCGGTGCCGAATGAGGGTAGACAGAACGCTGAAGGACTTCCCACACTCGCTGCACTGGTAAGGCCTCTCTCCAGTGTGAATTCTCTGGTGCAGAACAAGTGCGTCTTTGCGGTTGAAGGTTTTCCCGCACTCACCACACTTGAAAGGTTTTATGCCAGTATGAACCTTCTGGTGCTTCCTCAGTTTAGATGGGTAACTGAAGGCCTTCCCACACTCACTACACACATGGGATGTTTCTCCAGTGTGAGTTTTTCGGTGATGAACCAGGGTTGAGCTCTCCATGGGGGCATTTCCACCTGCTGGGCACCTGAAGGGTCTCTCTTTGGCGTGAGTGATCAGGTGGTCAAGGAGCGCAAAGGCCTTCAGGAAGGCTTGCCCGCAGTCGCTGCATTTGAAGGGCTTCTGTGTGGCGTGGGCTCCCTGCCATTGCTGGCGAGTGGAGCTGGGTGGGAAGGCCTTGCGCTCGGTGCTTCTGCGTGGTGTCCCCTCTCTGTGGGTGGCCTGGGGCTGGAGGAAGCCTAAGGCGGCAGGGATGTCCTTCCCAGACACCCTGCACAGAAAGGGGTTCTCTGACAGGCGGACTCTGTGGCTCTTCACCTGCTCGGGAGGGGCTTCCTCATCCCGCAGTCTACACAGAAAACCTGAGACAGAAGAGTCAGTCACTGAGAGCTGGCTTAGACGGAAGAGGCACCTTCATCATCAGTGCATGTCGGACACACCCATAAAGGAGTCCACAGAATTGCCAGGAGGTTGCAAGGAAAGGTCTGGATGAGAAAGGGCTGGCCCAGTGGAACAGGGCTCTGCCAGAGCCCAGAATAGGGGAGACCTCAACAGGGACCAGGACACAAAGATGGGAACAGTGCAGGGAAGGGATTCAGGGCCTCTAAGTCACTCCTGTGCAAAGGGTATCGGCAGGGCCTTAGCTACTGGAGACAGCAAGCACTGTGAAGAGGCTGTGTCTACTCCAATGAAAACATGACTGTGACACAGTAGCTGGTGCTCAAGTATTACTGAAGGATATGTACGCACCTCAAATCACACACACAGGAGGTCACAGTTGACAGTTCTGCACTGGCACAGAGGAGAGGAAATGACAAGACACAGAGGCCAGAGAGGTGGGTCATCCAGAGCCATGGTAGAGATAGCAAGACCACACAGTGAGTCCACAAGAGGGGAGAGGAAAGGTGGGAATAAGGTGTGGTCACTGGCCCCAGCACCAAAATGCCAGTGTACTCAGATACCCGTTACTGAAACCAAGGCACCCCCTAGCCCCATTCACCAAGACCAGGACCCGTCCTGGCCTCTGCTCTGCTGACCACAGTCATATCCACCATGTTGGGCACCCAGGGCTCTTCCTCACCCTTCATTTGGGCCACCTCACCCTTCATAGGGACCTCAAAGGTGCAAAGCCTAGGAGGTAGAAAGGTAATAAGATACCAGCCCAAATCAAGGCTGACCCATCCCTACACGTACCACAGGAAGCTCATGTCACCATGGCAACCAGCTAGGAAACCAAGTATTAGAACATGAACCTCTTCTGTACATTTAAAAAAAAAAATTGTCAGAGAAGCAATTGTAATGTTCATTTTTTAAAATTTATTTTTTAAGTTGAAATATAGTTGATTTACAATGTTGTATTAGTTTCCGGTGTTCAGCAAAGTGATTCAGTTATATAAATATACACATATATTCTTTTCCATTATAGATTATTATAAGATACTGAATATAGCTCCCTGTGCTATACAGTAGATCCTTGTTGGAACCTCTTCT